AAGTCGTCGTCGTCTTGCCACCTCATAAGTGTTACGGGCATCTTTGCTCACCTGAGTCGCCGATATCTTTCCACGGATTCGGTGGATACATGAATTCGGCGTTCTGGATTTGATCATGGATATCCTCATCCTCGTTGAAGGGGAATGTACCAGAGAGGCTAAAATATAGTAGATCAACCTAATCAAACCATGCTTATGATAATTTTTCCTTTGTTAACCCCTGGAAGAATGAGTAGCCACCAACATCAAGAGCGTCTCAAAAATGTGTGAGATCTGCAGGCTATTCCTTGTCGAATTTGTTTAGAAAAGCAGAAACAGTGCACAATATATGCGCCATCATCATCATGAATAGCAAAGCGTGACAAAAGTGCTCAATTCATCTACCGTTTTGGATATGAAAACTGCTGCTCTTAGGCAGCGTTCAGACTTCGCGACGGCAGCGCTTCGGTCGCGCGTTCGACGCGATCAATGCAGTCGAAAGCATGCGCATCGATCGTCGCGCGACCGAAGCGCTGTCGTCGCGAAGTCTGAACGCTGCCTTAGGGGCACTGGAGTGACTATGAGTTGCTCATCAAAGACAGCCCCGCGCTCGAGTAGTACATGGTCGTCCTTCCTTGTGCAAGTAGTACAGCCCCCAAGCTAGAGACTATCCCACTCTCGCGACTCCACAGCGAGCGAGCGAGCTACAGCCGCTGAAAGTTCTAGTTCTAACGCCCGCTCAGTTGGACCGCCCACTTGCTAGATGCCCTCTGACGGAGGGCCGCTCAGTTGTTCTTTGTTGGGGCGGCGGGCATTAATCGGAATTGCATGTCCTTTTTGCTGACCGCGCTCGTGCCCATAAATAATTCTGCTCTCCTTTATTACATTTTATTCATTGGGAGCACATACAGTCAACTGCAACCCATCTCGCAAGGTAAAACGCGTAAAAATCACGAGTGATGCAATTTTGTGGTGCAAAAGCTCGACGCACTAAAAGATGCACGCTACCGTAACCCTAAATTCGTACGCCGAGTTTTTGAAAGTTTCTTTTTGTCAAGAGTTTTCCGTCGGTGTTTTTGTTGCTTTTCGTAATCTGTTCTTTGCACTGGATGATGCAAAAAGATGCCAAAAAGCGACTTGTCATTAAGGGGTTGCGCCAAGACCGCAAGGCAGTGTGACTGTCAGGGAGCGATTTTGTTTATGGTGTTCTTGAGGACTCTTGTTTTTTCTTTTTTGGGGAATTACTTATCAGCTACTGTTTCATAATTGAACAGCAACTATCCATGACACTTTATCGCAGGAACTGTCTTTAATGTGCTTAGCATAGACCACATAACTGGATCTTGTGACTGCAGAAAGATCTTATACGAGATTTAATAAGTTGTCGCGTTGCGACACAGTAAAGATCGCGTACGTAATACATACAAGAAGGGCAGTAGCGAAGTATTACACAACCCCCTCCCCCCTAAATGCATTAATCAAGCGATTTCCATTAGTCGGAAGCAGCTGTACAGTCATATCATGCGTAATGCAAATAACTTATGAGAATAATCAGCGAATGTTAGATCACCAAGCTACTTCTGGTTTGCTCACCTGACATAAACTATCACACCAACACTCCACATATCGAGAGAACGATTGAAACCCTTGTTCCGCAACACTTCGGGAGCCAAGTAGGCTGGTGTGCCTACTACTGACCGTCGGAAGGACTTCTCGCCAATAATCCGAGCAAAACCGAAGTCACACAGTTTCACCTTAAAAATCCAGTAATGCAGATGAATTTCAGCTGCAAACTTCACTTTGACCGCGAGCACTTACCAGAGAATAGAGAGAGTGACAGAATTGAGGATTTATTTATTAGTTGTCGACTTTTAGTAGTTCAAGTAAATCCAAGAAATCGAAGTTAGGTTATCACCTCGGCGAGAGGGGAGGATTTTAGCACATCTGCTATCATATATCGACTTGTTGAGCCATCTAGAGAGCTATATCATCAGGTCACCAGGGTTGAGAGGTTTCACCATGGCGTCACGACAAACTCGGTCCAGCTTCGGGAGGGTTCACAAGTGTAAGCAGAGTGGGACTCGTAAACCGGAACTAGGGAAGCAGCGAAAAAATCAAAATGCCTCCCGCCGTCGTCAGTGCGCCGATCCTTTTACGAAATTCCATTTGATATTATGTATCAAGTCCCCCTCTATAGACCAGTAGGAAGAGACGCTCCAATGCTAGCAGGACAAAGTGGAATTAGGAACAGAAACAAAATAAAGTTCGATTCATATACCTGTGGGAAGTCGGAGTTTGACGTGAGGAGGATGTTCTCTGGCTTCAAGTCGCAGTGAACGATGTTCTGATTGTGAAGATAACGGAGTGCGACAAGAATCTGCAATTTGCAAATGCTTATGCAATTCCAATTATAGTTCAATAAAATGAACGTCGAGGATTCTTATGTTCGCAACTCAAAGTTTATAACCTTGCTGCCAATTTAAATGACTTTTCTCTATTACTTGTTACTTGGAAACGGGGAGAAGAGTATAGAAAAGCGAAAAAAAATAGCAAACAAATGTTGTTCAGTCGTGCCTGAGGGCTTTCGGTATTGCTGATAACTCATCATGGGTTTTTTTGCACTAAAAAATTTGTGACGTTGATCATTTTGGTGTTTCGACTAGATCATCTTCCTCAGGGGGTGGACATAACTGAAGGTATTTCTATGCTATCAGACGCCTACACTTCTGTCGAGGGAAGGCCGGCTGGCCATGGGCGTTTAGGACGGATGTCATACCGAGTGAGGCGCTTTCAGCCACTGGAGCACAAATCTGTGCTTTCGGAATTTCAGGATGTTGCAAGATTAGATATCTATCAAGTATTCTGGCGACTTCATAATGACCGTATCATAATTTAATGGCATGTCAGACTACTCATAAACAATAGCAGACTGGCATTGCTCCACTTCAGCTGCTCGGTACTGACGCATTTCATTCTCTCATTCTTGCTTATCATTCCTTTCCTGGTATTCTACTGGAGAAAAACTGGGGTAAGTGATGTTTGCTGCCTTGGAGAGGGCAACATTCCTTCCCAGAATTTCCACTAGAGAAAAACTGGGGACAGGTGATATTCGCTGGCTGAGGTAGATAGACCTAATAGAAAGACGAAGTGGTCGGAACAGTGGACAGATCATCAGTGTGGGAAACCTATCAGGGTACGGTGAGTTCTATGGCTGGGAGAAGGGGAAATCGCATCACACCAATTTTCGATTGTTGGTTTTCCACGGTGCTATACCCCTCCCCTAATTGGCGGAAAGGCCCACATAACGGTGATGTTTTGGGAAAATTTGTAAGATGGAGTGGGTGGTGAGAGGGATATCGTACCGAGCCCTCTATCTGGGACAGAGTTCGTACTGACACCGTCATTTCGTCCATCCCGATGATGCACGCTGCCGAAAAGTTAGGCCAGATTCAGAACAATCCACTTGAGATTCCCGTTAGGGCAATATAAAACCATCGACTGAACCGTTACGTTTGGTAAAAAATGTTCTAATTTTCATAGCATAGCACAGAGATTATCGTCTTGGCACTATGACGCGTGAGATAAGGATCGCTTGTCGCTACGTTCGCACGCTGCGATTTCAGCAGATTGTTTATTTACTCACAGTGATTCTGATGTTTCTTGAGGGGAAGAAGCTTGTTCACCTGTGTGGAGAAACCCTGATTCTTTCTTAACATGTTCCGAGCCCAGCTGTTTTCGGACTGATACAAGGTAGATGATCAAAGTTTTTTCTGACTAATCAGTTCTGGATTTATCCAAAAGCCGATATATTCAGTACAGTGCAGTTCGCTGCGGATGCTGGGGCCTATCAAAGACGGTCGACAACTCAATCGATGGAAAATTGGTTGGCGCTGTGTTCTGGCGCAGCGCCAACCAATTTTCCACCGATTGAGGTTGCTTGGCAGCTTCCACAATTGGTGGAAAACAGACTGGCGCCGTGCCAAATCCAGACCGTCCCGTGAAACGCCCCAATATCCGCAGCGAACAAGACTGTATGAAATAGAGAACGACTTGTTCAATATTAAGTGAGATTCATAACAAAAACGAAGCAAAATATTATCGTTCCAGTATATTCCCATCACCCATATAAGAAAAAAGATATCAAGACCATGAAAACACAGCGTACCTGAGAAACCAGAAACTGCGTAATCCGCTCACTCAATCGCCCTTTCTCGCTGGATAAGATCATCTCAAGCATGTCGCCCTGAAACAACACGCACAGTATGTATAGAGTAGCTGGAAGTTTTCAACTATATGAACAGTGAAAAACGATTCGAAATACCTTTAATTTCTCCATTACGACGAAAATTCGATCTGGAGTCTCCAACATTTGTTGGAAATCGACAACGCCCGGATGGTGCACTTTCTGAAAGGATTTCGATGAATCCTCATTATACCCAAAAACAAAAAAATTGATGGGCTCGAAAAATCGCAAAGTCATTGATAAAATCGCGTGGAAATGTTCTTCTGGTTTTATGAGTGTGGGGGAAGGGCTGGGAGCAGAGAAGAGATCGACCAGGTCAGCGCGTCGGAACAGGGCATTTTCTGCCGCTTGGAGAATTCCCAAAAAAATACGACCCCTGTTTCCTCCTCTGGTATGACACCTTACCCCTTACCTCACCAGCAATCTCACAGACTTTTCCCTACTTCGTTTCATCACCTCCCACTTTTCGAGGAGTATTCCAGTTCGACAAGTTCATCCATTCGTCTGCTTCCCCCTCGGACGGTTGGTTTCCTTCCACCGATGACTTCGCCGTCAAACCAAGCTGGAAGTAGCGACTCCCGTGCTCGGACCTTCCTGAAGATAGCCGCAGTCAACGTCCGCGGCCTTTGTTCTCAACAACGACTCGCGGATTTTGAAGCCAACGTCAGGAAAGTGAAGTTCACTCTGATTGGATTATCCGAAACCGACGCCCTCCTAACCGTGAGTGTCTTCAACTTGGATCAGGCTTTGTATTATACAATAGTGGACGTTGCGACGATACCCCCACATATGCTGGAGTGGGATTTTATATGTCCACATGGATGAACAAAAAGCTCGTCGGTATCCGTTACATCAGCGATCGTGTAATACAAGCCGAGTTCCTTATAAGAAAGAGACGTCTCAGGATTATTCAAGTTCATGCGCCGACTTCTGCCGCAGCAGATGAAGAGTATGAGCAGTTCCTTGACGAGGTAGAAGCAGCACGACATCCGTTTAGAAGTCCAGCTGTACCCGAAATAATCTTCGGCGACTTCAATGCAGTCATAGGACGCTCTCCCAACCATGTGCCTGGATGCGGACCTCATGCTACTGGTAGAAGAAACGATAGAGGCACGACACTGCTGTCATTCTGCTCCGCAAATGGCCTTTTAGTCGCCAACACATTCTTCAAGAAAAGGTTCGGTAGAAAATGGACATGGAGAAGCCCAAACGGAACCACCCGTACTGAAATAGACGCACGTAACTATGCCCACCTGAAGTTTTGTCCGCGATGTGACATACGCTTTCTGGATGCAATGTCGGTAGCGATCACCGGATGGTACGAGTAACTTTGGCGATGTCAATGAAGCCTGCTCATTTCCACCAAAAAAGCAAGGCCCTTGCCACAGAGCTTCGACAAGCTGAAACTACAAGCTGCAATGGCAATGCAGCCCCGTCCAGCAAATGGTTTCCGGATTTCAAGCTTCTTTCTTACAGGTGGCTAAAAATTGGCATGATCTTGGCTGGCTCAAACTTCTCAGCAGCGAGTGGAACGAGTCTCTGCTCGCACAAGGGCACTGATGGCAGAGCGAAGAAAGCAGAAGTTTGGATTGGCAAATGGCTCCACGAATCCCCTGCTATACACGTTGCTATGTAAACAAGTCCGATGGTCACTCACAGATGATTTGCGGAAGCACAACGACCGACTCATGGAAAGTGCAATCGAAAAACTAAGGATAAGGCATGCTAGATACGAGTTGGCCTATGTGCATAAACAAATATCACAACTTCATCGTGCAGATGGTTCTTTGACGACAACGCCACTAGAAGCCATTGATACCGCGGCTGCGTTCTACAACGAGCTCTACCGCTCCTCCCAAGGACCTTTTTGTTTACGTGTTCTGTAACATGGCTCGTTTGGGCACCGGCCGGTTACTGCAGACGAACTCTGTAAAGCATGCCGTGGCATTCGTGGAAACACTGCATCTGGCCCTGACGGAATCCCATCCAGTGTAACGAAGTATCTGGTCCCCATGTGTGCAAACGATCTCGCAACCGAACTCAACCAATTTTTCGAACTCAACCAGTTCCCGGAAAGTTTCGTTAAGGCTAAAACCATCCTTCTCTATAAAAAGGGTGACCCTTCCAACATCGGCAACTATAGACCAATCTCCTTATTGTCGACGCTCTTCAAAGTTCTCACCCGTGCACTAGCTCATCGTGTGGAAGAAGAAGTAATGAGCTCTATTCCCATTGAGCAAGCTGGATTCAGACGCGGTTTCTCCACCCGTGACCACATTATGTCCGTCAATCTGTTGATGGAAAAATGCCGTGAATGGAAGAAACCACTACATATGGTGTTCGTTGATTATCAAAAAGCCTTCGACACTATCGAATTCAATGCTATCTGGAGAGCATTAGCTAAATATGGAGTAGACGACTGTACGATTCGGATGATAAAGCAGCTCTATGCTGCTGGCCGATCATTTCTGACTCTCAGTGCTACAGAGAAGATGATCGACATACAACGAGGAGTTCGACAAGGTGATTCACTATCTCCATTGCTGTTCATTCTGACACTCCATTCCTGCCTTGACGACATTGACTGGGAGGATCAAGGGTACCCCATTGGTCAACATCGTCTCAATTACCTCGCATATGCTGACGATCTTTTTCTGTGCTCTCCAACTATTGATGGATTACAAATAATGCTCCATAAACTCACTAGAGCGACCAAAGAGGCTGGACTAGAAGTGAACGCAAATAAGACCAAATGGATGTCAACCAGCTCCAACGGCCATCAACTCAGAGTAAACGAGGTGGAGATTGCACAAGTAACATCATTCGTCTACCTGGGCCAAGTTATCTGTTTTCCGCAGGAACGCGGTCAGGAAATCAGCTCTAGGATCAGCTCGGCATGGAACGTCCAAGAAAGAGTCCAGACTCTGACTAGAAGCAAGATGACGCCGATGCGGATCAAACGGCGTTTCTTCCATATCTGCGTAATGCCTGCACTACTGTACGGATGCGAGACATGGGCACTAACGAAGGCGCATGAAGAACGACTGCGGAGAACTCAGCGAAGAATGGAGCGACAGATGCTCGGTCTTCGACTCAGCGACAAGGTATCGAATACAGCTATAAGAGTCAGGACACAGCTGAAAGACGTCGTTGCTGAGCTTAGAACGTAAATGGATATATGCGAATACTGGATGACGCAGAGATCAAAGCACGATGGAGTCGATTGTTGAATTGGAAGCCCTCCGGAAAAAGAGCAGTCGGAAGGCCACGAATGCGATGGGAAGACGATCTCAAGATGTTTGCTGGAACGGACTGGAAGAACATCGCGACTACACCCGAATGGTTTCAGAGCATGGCCCGTTTCTCTGTATATATCAGAAAAAAATGGAGGTTTAAGGCCCCGGCGCGCGGGGGAAAAAAAAAAAAATTTTAAATTGTTATTGTATTATTCCAGTTCTTTTCCTAAAATACTATCGTCCAGTGGGGATCATTGCGACCCAAACGATTACCTAATATTCGGGTATTTTTTAACTTAAAACAGTCTGTATAGAAATTCAGCGGGCACCACCGACAGTAGGGAGACAGCGATTCGAGAACCTTCCGTAGGAGGCAGCACGACGTCAGCTCTTTCCAACGATGAGCAAGACGACGTCTTTCCCCCTCCCCTCTTTTCACCCCGCTGGAGATTCCCCAACGTACGTCGGTCGAGAATGCAAAACATCGGTTGGTAATCTAGTTCAGGGAAGTATTCAAAGGGTGAGAAGTTCAAGGTGAGTGAACAAGTTTTCAAGCATGGTAATTCCGAGCGCTGGTCTCTTCAAGGTTACTTTCGCCTAAGTTTTTTTTCTTTGTCCCATGCTTCTGCACACGCAAGCTCTGGAGGTTCTACGCAGTACAGGGAATCAATAGAAGAATAACCCTTGCCTGCAAAATGTTGACTTCTGTTCGCAATAAATCTTCTTTGTTGGGCGGGAATTTCAGTTTGTCGATCAGTTTAACTGCAACATGTTTACCCGATTTCCGATGAATTCCACCATAGACGGTACCGAATTGACCAGAGCCAAGAATCTGAACCACAATTCCATATGTACAAAAGCAATCTATAAAACTATCATGGACAAATCTATAAAATGTTGCCAAAAATAGAGGGCAACGCTGAATTTCAAAGGATTAGTCCACGACGATCCTATGGGCGGAGACAGCCAATTGTCTCCAATCTTTGCTACGCCCCTCTTCCGGGGCGATATGAAGAGGATAGCGGTGAGGAGGACCCACTGCGACTCCTCCTACCTATGACCACGCCCATATAATTAATATGGACTGCGCATTTAACTTTTTTACAAGGATGCTATCTCTTTGGCGGCTAAGCTGCTAGAAGAAGTACAGACGTTTGAATCCAGGGATTAGAAAAAGGTTTTATCCGACATGTTCAAAACGTGCATGAAAATTTCAGAACACCGTTTCCTAATAAGGCCAAATCCAATGAGGAACATACCTCTTCGGCAAATATTTGGTATAGTTGCGAGAACTCCTGTTCGCTTTGGATAGTCGCACCAAGATGTCCTTTTTCACCTGTAATTGTCAAACTTATTGGGAAATGTTTTTGTTCAATAGCGGTAAGACCCCACTGCAGTCAAGGCAAACAGTCAACCCTCATTAATTGCTCTAGAAAAGCAGTGTCAGTGAGAAACAGTAATTTTTGGGCTTCATCAGAGGAGGTGCAGAACTGGAAACAGTGGAAGTTCTGAAGGTGGAGGGGAGTAAAATCAGCAAAAAATCACTGTGGAATTTTTACTTGGTCTTTCGAGGAGAAAAGCCAAAACTATTGTCAGCTTTTCGTTTTTTTTATGGAATTTTGAAGGTGGCTTACATGCCCACATCTTCTACGGAACTCGCTGAGACTCGAAAATTTTCTGGTATTTTTCAAGATAGCCGGCCACGGGCATGCAAAAATACAAAAATGGTCAAAATGCTTCAGTTTCTCCACATAGTTTTACGGGACGTTTCTCATAGAAAAGCCGCCAACCTGATCAATTTTTAAATCCAGTTGGATGAAAGTGGAAGTTTCAGACATTCCCCCATACCCGTCACCCTCATCGTCTGAAGCGAGGCTTCGACCCGACACTGATATAGCAGAGTCACGCGATCCTCTTAGGATACCCATTGAGAGATTGATGGGGTGCAATAGCTCCATATGTTATGGTAATGACGTGCCTTGAGACGTAATTGCCAATGGTGCAAGTGTATTCGTCACCAAAGTGCAAGATGAAACGTCATCTGCTAAATTTCAGCCGGTTATGGATCTTGCAACACCTGCGCCCCTGCCCCTATTATGAATGAGTTTTCCCGGTATCTCTCATTGAAGTCGATCTCAACGAAAAAGCGAAGACGAACGACCGCTATTAAACTGATAATCACAGGTACGGATCTTCGTCTACAATTACGCTATCGCTCCAGCTGCTGCAGACTATACGATTATCGACAAGCCGGTGCGGCTCTTTGACGTCCATTGAACTTGATTGTTCGCATCACTGAGGCTGAAGCAGGCTTCTTCAAGCCTGGTGTGAAATGCCTACAGAACCCAGTGACTCAGTGATAGAAGTACTCAGTGTTGGGAAACATCCAGCCACGTATTGAACAGCTGATGATGGTCCCTTTGATTCCCAACCAGTTATACATGAGTAAATTGAATACAAGTGCCCAGCAAAAAAAACTTCTACCCGTATACTACAACTCACGGCATTTACTTTATCCTGAATATAGAAATGATAGGCCTTCCACGTAAACCGAATGGAAACGACTGTAAGGCTGCAGTTGCTATACATACACCTTTCACTGCTCCGCACTTCAAAAGACAGGCAGAATTATTGAGGTTTGTCCCAGGGTAGATGTGTTAGAAAATTGGCCACAGGTGCATTCACCTAATGATCACGAATCTCACATTCGACTGGCCCGAAAAGTTCTTGCGCAGGAATCGGCGCCAAAACACCCCAAATCACCAAAGTCGTTGGAAACTCGTTCCAGTGGTGAATTGGTGCCTCAAGTAAGGATATCATATCCGTTAGGCGCAAAATCGCCTGGAACCCGCCCTGCAGTCACTGTAGCTTAAACAGGCCTCTGGAAACGGCATTTGTAGCACGGGCGAAAAACCCCTTCGTATCAAAAGGATATCACACTCAGGCACAACCGGATGTAAGCGATAAATCAGCCGACCGGGGCTTTTCGCTTTTTGCTTTCCTTCTGCACTTATCGATAAAAAAACTGGCAACGTGAACGAGGAATCACTAGAGTTTCTATCCAAAGTATGCATCTGTCTAGATCACTACCCCTCTTTCCGTTGTAGGAATTTTCTGAGAGAAATCTGGAGATATTAAGAGAAACAGCTACAAAGGTGCTAGAAGTCAGCAAAATCTAGAGAGATTGGAAAACGATAAATGGGGAACAGGGTTCAAACGAAAGATAGAATTAGAAGAAGGTCGAATTTGAAACTTCTCCTCAGGCCACATCATGGCAATTCCCTGCACAAATCCTCATTTACTACGTAAAGATACAAGATTTTTATCGTGCACTCCACTTTTTTTCTGCCCACCGTCTAATAACAAGAACTTAATCTGACTGACCTTCATTGGGCACTTTCAGTTTCGCCATGTCGTTTGCTCGTTTCTGACCGCCTATTGACGATTGTGGTGTGACCGGCATCAACGCTGCTTGAATCGCTGCCCGACCATGATTGCCGAGTTGAGCGAATTCTCTTCAGATGGTGAACCAGCTTCAAAAGGAAAATATTCGTAATCGTTCGAGCTGACAAGAAAGGAAAAAAAGCTCCCCTAAAGATTCGATAGAATAATCGACGGATCAGCTCAAATGCATCAGCTCAAAACATTAATGATATACACTACTTTATTGTCAAGTACAATGAAAAAACAATGGGTAATGTCTCGGCTGGGGCAATCTTTGCTATCATTACTTTCTTTCGCCTAGTCCATCTTTACTAACATGTGCGATTTTCGGTAGAAATTTGTGAGTCTTTGCAACGCAGAGTGTACAAGTGGTTACAAGCATTTACGAGTTTAACAAGTGAGCTGAGTACCATTTAGTGACCCCCACGAAGCCGAACTGTGCCCAACGATTAGTTAACAGTTAACTAATTATAAATAACTACAAGTCCGTGAAACGAAATACAGAAATTTATCTTGTCAGACGACGACGGCAAATCGTTTTCATCTTTGAATTTGTTCGTTTTTTCTTGAACGCACTTGATTTTTTTGCCTTTTTATTGGTAATGAACTTGATTTTCACATTACAAAAAAACATCTCATTTTTAGATGGAAACCTACCTTGATGAGGCATAGATCAAACTCTAAGTGAGATGGTATGGACAGAAATGAATCAATGAAATCAGTTATCCAAAATTTCTAAGGATATTTTTGAAATTTTCTTCTGGTTAGAAATGGGACAATGGAAGGTATAATTCTTATCCACCGGGCCCTAGCGCAGATTGAAGGAGCTTCCATTCGTGCCTCTTTTTCTCAACCAACGCTCCAACCTGGTGGAGACCATCGCTCGGCGTTGTCTACGCTATAAGCGTAAGCCTTCGTTAGGGAAGGGACAGGAGGCGCGACTGGGTGCCCTCTTCCCAAACTCTGTTATGTCAATCATTACCATATATCTGTAACAAAAGTAAAATCACCTCGACTGGTTGATGGACTATCCACCGCATATTGATCTAAGACCTCACTGGTCACGATTTTCTTCTGTCTCGAGAAGTGAACCAACGGAAAATCGTAGGCACATAGATAACCGGGTTCCAAGAGCATCATACTGTGAAACCAAACAGTAACATGAGATTAACGGACGATGAAATGAACGCCGATGAAAGGAACCTTACAATAGAGTTCAATCAAAGGGAGCCGACATGACCGAGAGAGATCAATGGTCACAAACATCAGTGAAGTTGAGAAAGAAATCCCAAAACATGGGGTTGGGAAAAACTGGTACTCAAAAGAAGAAAAGTCCATAAATTTTACAGGTCTTCCACAATTCGGCAAAGTTTACACTATAGTGTAGTAGTGAAAGCTAATAGTGGGCAGCATGAGAATGAGAACTTGAGAACTGGGAATAGTGTATAATTAAGGTGGTTGCCTATTTATTGCGAATCCTGTTTCAAATGAAGCAATTCACAGACAATGTAATTACAGAAGTCCACGGTCAATTTAGCTGATTGGCAACGTGCCACTGCAAGAGATCTGCTAGGAGGATTCAAGCTACTGAAGTGACCAGTCCGTTCAGCAAGGCAGATCATTGCTAAGGAAGCCAAGGGAAGCCCGGTTACATTGCGACCGCTAGCGAGAGGTGTCGGTCGTAACTTAGCTAGCGAAAGGGGGAGGTTGTCGTATCTAAGAAGATGAGAAAAGCTAATGAATTTCGGGAGAAACTGTAGCAGATTCGTTGTTTCCTCATTGATAGTCAACGCTCGATCAAATCCGGTAGACGGCGGATGTCTTGCATATTATTGCATATTCTGCTATCCGTCTGTGCTCAATAAAGCTGTTGTTGCACTGTGGTGACAGGAGTTGTGGCTATGCTTCATATATCCAGTTCCAGATGAACGCGACACCTAGAATGGAGGGAAGGGTCGAATTGAAGAAATACGCTCATCTTGCGATGAACGTGGCGTCTTGTCTACGGGATAGGCTTTCAGTAGAGTTTCTGTACTAATCTGACTGCTGAAAGTCTCCCGTCGCATTACTCGTTACAAAAACTGAGATAATCTCATTAGCTGTGCTGAGTCTACTTGATCGGCATCGCTATGCAAAGGGATAGATTTAGCGTAAACAACTACTACCGAACTAGTCAGTCTCGCTACTCCAGGCAACTGCAAGCGCATACTCTGGTTTCTCTGTACGCCATATGAAATAAAATGCTATACTCAGCAAGTCAAGATTCAGTGTAATGAATAACGACAAATAGTTATTCCTTACGACAAGTATTTAGTTAAAGCATGCGATACACAAACAGGAATAAATACGAAACCAGTACGTCTTTGCACGACGTTTCGCGGAATGTGTCGTCCCCTCAAAACAGGGTCACAGTGGCCTGGGCCACCTGCATCTACACGTACCCCCACAATTACCCCCAATCAACAACATTGCTGTTTATCTGTAAATTACCTGCGATGCAGTTGGGGGAGTGTATATGCAAACAGAAGAGCTCGTAAGGGAAAGTTCATTCACAGTCAAATTAATGAAAATTCAAGCTTAGCCTTGCAGCAGGAACGCCTCCTCGCTTCTGGGAAATCAAGGTATGATTAAATGGAAAACGAAGAGAAGAAGACATCATTTCTAAGCCCGGATATTTCAGACCATATTAATACCCCACGTAATGAGGTGAATATAGAAAATTCTCTTAAAAAAATATAGAAAGATTTTATATAGCATTAAGCAATCTCCTGCGCATTCTACTCGCTCAAGTATTTCGCAGCGCATGAATGTATGCTTGACGAATTCAATCCCAGCCTATATGGACCGTAAATGCCAGCGTTACCACTCAGGGAATTGTGCAATACATAGAGGGACAGAAAGGGTTGTGTGAGGCTAATGGAGCGAGGCCTTCCGTGACCTGTGAGTAGGGCAT